ATAGCCCTTCGGGCTGAAAAAGGACGTTAAACTAGAATAATAATAATAATAATAATAAAGTAACGAAGCGAAAAACTCGTAAGAGGCGCTACGTATAGGCAAAGGGGTCCTAGACAGTTAGCTAGATAGCTAATTAGATCGCTAAGGCAGAGGGTGGTAGCTATAATAATAGTGCAACGTCTGCAAAGAGGGTGCGTAGTAAACAGCGCTGCGGGCGTTGCAGCCAAATTAGATACAACTCTCGCACTTGTTAAGTAGAATTAGAGAATATAGAGGATAGCAATACGTCTAAAGAATAATATCTTATTCTACTTAATAAAAAATATTGTAGTAGTGTTGCGCAATACTATTATAAAGATGTAATAGTTTGGGGAGGTGGCCTACATACTGGGGTGGCCCGCTTACTGGTGAAACACGTTACTGTACACACACAAAAAAAAAACACGAAAAAGAAGAATAGCAGCCAGGGACCAAGACAGAAGGCCCAAAAAAAGGGGGGAAACAAGGATATCCCCCGATCACAGAGATTGTAGCTTGTTGATCCATGCATCCATGTACGTATACATGGATGCATGGATGCATGACTGACTGACGGACTGACTGACTGACTGATCAAGTGCATGCGCAAGTGCATAACTTAGTACAGCGAAAACCTGGATCTACATGCAATAGCAGGTATAAACCCGGGTTATAGCACAGCTCTTACTTTCCGTTCAGGGCAGGAAAGATGGGTTGGCTGTTACTGTGGATAATAGCCTTTGGTGGTTGAGTTTGGTTTGCGTTTCGGATGCTGGGCGCGTTGCGTGTGTGTGTGTGTGTATGCTTGGAGTGCGGGTGTGGACGTACTGTAGGTATGGTATGGTATATGTGGGCGTGGGCGTGCGTGTACGGGGTGGTAAAGCAATGGCAACGTCATGGTCATAGGCATAGTCATAGTCAAGGGCAAAGTAGGTGTACAGGCTACAAGCCAAGATGAACATGTTGCCCGAGATTAGGTAGAGCGGCATCTGCCGGCGTCGTTATCATCATCATCGTCACCATGTGTCTGTGTGTTTGCGCGTGGGGCAGACAGGCGGGCCCGTATCTAATACGATAAAGACATAGATAACTACGTACATGCATGCTCAAAGGGGTAAGAAAGCGATTGTACAGTCGATTCCTGTCCTCGGATTCGGAATGATATTGCTGTTTCTTTTGGGGGTGGGGATGTGTTGGCGTTGATGCGTTTGGTGCTCGTGTGGCTTGATCGAGGCTTGGACTTGGTCTCGGATATTAGATAAGTACCGGGGGGGAGGGGGGGGGGGGGGGGG